CCGCTGGTACTCCCAGATTAGCTGTCAGCCTATAGAGAAACTCTTGATGCGCTCTAGAGTCTATTGCTGGCATGGACGGAGCTGGGTCCGCCAGGGCCTCATCGGGGGACGATGATGATGATGACTCCCTAACAGGCCCAGGGTCTTCCACCACCTCTGGAGAGCAGGTCGTCTGCTGGGGTTCTGCACAAGCAGGTTGTGGGGTACCCACTGCAGCCACTTCCCCTAATGCCTTCCCCCTCTGTGGACTGTCTACCCTAGAGGACGAAGGAGGTCTCTACATTGAGGCGGACAGGGTGCTCCTCCGATGGGAGACACTGGATGCTCAAAAGGGTGGCAGTGGGCTCTGCCACTGATGATATGCCCAAGGCATCCAAAATGGCCAGGGCGGTTGAACCTGCGGAGGCCACATCTGCTGAAAATCTTTCAGCACTGGCAGGTGCCGAGAATGTGAGCAGTAACAAGACGAAACCCTAGACGAGCCCTCCAAGCACAGCAACTCTGCCTCAGACTCAGAGGAGTAGTCCAAAGCGGACCAGGGCGGTGCTGTGGAGGAGTGCCTGGAAGGGAGACTAAGCCTATACCTAGACATGGACTCTGGCTTTCCTTCATAGGTCTGTCTGGGTGGATGCATTAATGGCGGTGCCGGAACTCCGGTGCTGGGCAGCTGCTGCACAGAACTAGGAGTGGGGGCTGCAAATGGCGCCGGTGACAACGAAGCATGCGATGCTGGTGCCAGACATGCGCCCTGAGAACAGGCATTAACTACCAGTGCTGTGTGGTCCCCTCACACGTGCTGGGGATCCGCCGATGCCGATGCCCTCAGTGCAGGTGTCAATGCTGTCATCAACGTTGACATTGATGCTGGCGCTGTAGAAGCCACTGGTGCTGAAAGCCACCGGTGCCAACCAGGCTACTGGCTTTGGTGCTGCAACTGGTGCCGCCATGGCCCCTGGTGCCGAAGGCAAAAACCCCTCCGAGTGCAGGGGCGATGGAGGCGAGGCCATCAGCTCAATGAGCTCGTGGGCTGCCTCGAATGTCTCTGGAGTGGAAGGCCAGTGTGTGGGAATCGGACCTGGGCTCTGAGCACGAGGTGGGTCATCACTCCCCCTCTGTGCACCGACACGACTTGATCTGGGGGAGTCTGGGCACAGGGAACGTAGGCGGTGCCGGCCCACATGGGTCTTATGACCTGGTGACCTTCCCCTAGAGTCCTTCTTCCTCTTCGGAGCTGGGGACTGTAACCGGTGCCTGGGTGCTGACGTCTTCGGTGCCCTGGTATGGGAGGGGCCTAGTTCTGCTTCTCGCACCGACGCCAGTGCACTACACACCATGACCTCTCGAGACTGTGCCAGTTGGAGAGCCAACTCCATAAGCAGCAATTTTAAGTGGGAATCTCTTTCCCGCTTAGAACGCGGCTTAAAACTTCTACAAATTTTACAAGAGTCTGTGAAGTGGGACTCTCCCAGACACTTTAAGGCAAGCATCGTGGGGGTCTCCTTTAGGCATTGATTTTGCACAGGACGCACAAGGTTTAAAGCCGTGCGGGCCTGGCATCCCCCTCCCCTGAAGGGGAGAGATAACAACTACAAACACTTAACTAGGTACCTAACAACTACAACTACTTGAAAAACAATAAAAGAACTGCCAGTGGGCAAACAACACATGCTAGAAACTGCACAAAAGCAGCGAAGCTCCAATGACCGTCACGGGTGGTAAGAAGGAACTGAGGAGGGGGAGCGCCAGCAGGGGTATTTATGCTCTGCTATAGCAGTGTCACTCCAGGCAGCAACCTGCTAAGGAAAAAAGCTCCGGGATATCGTGCACGCTGTGCGTGCACACCTCATTCGAATGGATATGAACAATCACTCGAAGAACCACCTCTACTTTTGTCTGTAGCTCATGGGGGATGCCCAATGATTGTAACCATGACGTACAGTACAACTGCTGTTGCTGTCACCCTGGCCACCATATCCACTACATCCATGGACACCTGCAGCGCCGTCTAGGCAATTAATTGGCCCTCTTACATGACTGATTGTAACTGTGGCCTCTTTTGTTCAAAGAGGTCCTTTAAAAGCTCCTGCAGCCTAGTTTAATTGGCATGATCGTAGTTGGCAAGGAGGGTTGTGTAGTTGGGAGATTCTGAACTGCAGAGTGGCAGAGGAGTAAACTTTCCTCCCGAAAATATTCAGTCTCTTATGTTCTTCATCCTGGGGCATCAATTTAAATTGTGGCTGTCTAGAATTACGATGGACAGCATCTATCACCAATAAATTTGGCTGGGGTGGGAGAAAAGAAAATCCATACCCTTCACTGGGACAAAGTATTTTCTATCTGCCCTGCGATTAGTGGAGGGGGGTAGAGGCCAATGTCTGCCATATAGTTTCAGATGGTTCCATAATGGCCTCGTCAACCAGTAGTGTTATTTTAGATGTGGTAGGCTGCACAATTTTCAGCAACTTATGCTTGTTTTCTTTTACCTCCTGCAGAGCTATGTGTTGGGACTATGCCACGCTCTTAAATAGATACTGAAATTGCTTCAGGTCATCTGCGGGGGGAGAGGAAGAAGAAGAAAACATAGCCTTGTCAGGGGACAAAGAAGAGTGAGGAAGTGGAGAGTAGTTGTTGGAATTCAATCGAAGTAAATTGTCATCCTCCTCCACAGGATCTGATTGAGTGGTCATCGAGGATGATGGTGGGGGAGGGAGGGTTGGCAAGGACTGAGCAGTAGGAGGAAGAGACCACACTGTTGTGTGTGCTGGGGTTGCTAAAGTTGACTCCCATGATTGGCACCAATGTGAAGAGTGGGTGCGGTATTGGCACCACAGTTCCCAGGGTGGCCACTGAGATTTATACTGCTGCAGAGGATAAGGCCACAAGTTGTTAAACCAAAGGTTCTATGGATGATGGCATGGTGGTCAGTGCTGAATTGAATGCTCCAATGACACTGTTGGTGATAAGTACTTAGAGGAGAGCCTGCTCCCATGGCTAGTGCCGGGTCTGGTGCCAGTAGAGGATGGAGTAGGGGGGAAATGAAATGTACTCAGAGGAATGTCAATGTGGACTAGCTTCCTCAATTATGGGAGAATGAGGAGGGGAGTTGTCTGTCAGCACCAGAGGTAATGGTGCTGGCAGTTGTGTTCAGTGCCAGGACTCTGTTGCTTTCTGGGCTCGTGGCTTTGGAATCTCTAGTGCGGGTGTGTGCTTAGGTTCCAGCAGGCATCAGGAGTCAGAAGATCATTCTGGTGCCGCCATATCCATTAGCACTGGTGGAGGCAGCATGTCAGCTTTGGTTGGTGCCAAGAGAGAGGCTATGCCAGACTGTGCAGACGAGCTGGTTTTTCTCTTCAGCTCAAACTCTGCCCTGTTTGTCGGTATTGCTTTGCACTTTCCCACAGTGCCAAAGGTGGACGGCACTGGTGGACGAGCAGCAAGGGATGCTGATGTCACAGCTGGCAGGGACCGTGCCAGAGAAGCCCACGACTTATGGGGGGGTCCCGCATAGGGAATGAATTTGCTCTTTTCCTCAAAGTTAATGGCTCCACAGGCACCACTGTCTTCGACTCCAGAGGCTGAAGGAATTTCTCCCACAGCACGTTCTTGAGCTTCATCTCCTGGTCTTCTCTTGCCCTAGCAGCCATGCTCTAACAGTGTAGGCATTTCTCTGATACATGGCCTTTGCTGAGGCACTTTATGCAGGAGGCATGTCCATCCTAAGTGGGCACTGAGTTTCTGAAAGAAACACATCTTTTTAAAGCCAGAGGAACCTGGCATAATGAGAAAAACGGAGGCACGTAGAATTTGGAGAAAAAAATGGGAAAAAAAACCCAAAACAAACCTGGGGAGCAACAGTGTTGGTGTGTGGTTTTTTTGTTTGTTTGTATTTGTCTTGTTTTTCTTTTAAGAAAAAACAACTAAGGCTAACCAACAATTGACCAATAACTATTAAAATTACTAAAACTACTAATTTTTTAAATCTTTTTTCAGTTGGGAGAGCACTGTTCCAAAACTCTGTCTTCTGCCAATGACAGTTGAAAAGGAGCTGAGGGGACCCATACCACGCATGCAGCTAACGGACGAAAACAGCGAGAGACAGTGACCATGCATGTGCGTTGTGGGAAGGCTAAAGATCTCTGATCACCAACGTGAGGATGTACTAACATCTGATTGGAGCACCCACAGAAATAATAGTTGGAGGAGGACTTTCTATGCGCTCTGTAGATCAACATGTGAAAGTAGGGTGTCTTAAATCAAAGGTTATCTAACAGTCTACAGGATCTGAAGAGAGAAAAAAATTAAAGCCAGGGTGACCATGCAAACTTTTATCTTTTTGAGAGCTGATACAGGTCTGAGACTCCTCTTTGCTTTTGGGATTAGGAAATAATGGGAGTAGAAATCCTTCTCTTGTAAATTCTATGGAACCTCCTCTATGGTTCTCACCTGAAAGAGAGACAACTTCCTGCACCCGAAGTTCTTCGTGAGAGGGACAGAAATAAATTAGTGTGTGGCTCCTACTTCTCAGTGCTCAACACCCAATGGCCTACAGTGATATGGGACCAAGCACGTAGGAAATGGAAAAAGTGTTTGAAAACAAAGGAAAAACAAAGTCTGGTGTACTTAATAATGGTAAACTATTTAGAATAAAATATAAGAGAACACAGACACAGAATATTTAAAAAAACAAGACCTGCCTTCCAGGGACTGTTACTGGTAGTAAGAAGGAACTGAGGAGACTTGGGGTTGGCTGAGCCCTTTATATTGGTACCAGTGCCACACGATAAGCAAAGGGTGCTCAAGCAGCCCAACAGATACCACTGAGGGGAAAATTTCTGCTGACTGCGAGCAGGGCGCGCGCATGTGCGCGCGTACACACACACACACACACACACACACACACACACACACACACACACCCAAGAGCTGAATGCACAGGTGCAATCACTGAAAAAAGAATTTGTAAATATACTTGACAAATGTAAAGGGACATTTTAACTTGCCTTTTTTTTGTATGTTCTGTTCTTATTCTCCAACCAATCATCCACCTGTTCCTCAATCTCTTCAATAGATGCTCCGTGATCATATGACGGTATATATGCATTGGATTCTGAAGCAATATATATAGGGAATTCAGACTTTGGTTTCTTGACTTTAGGTTTCTTCTCCTCTACAACAATAGATAGAAATGATCTATTACTATTGTTGTTGATTTAGAGGTGTTCTTCACCTCTCCATGGTCAATGTTAAGATGAAATTTTCAGTTAAAAAGGAGATTCATTCTTTTAATTAGGGAGAAAGAAGACAAATGTTTATCATAGCCAAAACTGAACAGTATGTTTCATTTTTCTGCAAAGTTAAAATTAAATACAGAGTCAGGCTAGATCTTCAGTCTCTGAGCAGCAGCTGAAAAGTTGCCCTAAAAAGGAAGTTACTCACCTGTGCTGTAACGACTGTTCTTCGAGATGTATGTCCCCATGGGTGCTCTACTGTTGGTAATGGGTCATCCCCAGTGTCATACATTGGAGCTTTTCAGGGCAGTTATCAGCCGGGACATGCACGCACGAGAGGCGCCTCATGCTGTTTGCGCTTCAGCACCTCACACACACGTAGCCCACCCCTCCTCAGTTTCTCATATATGCCCAAGTAAATTAAACTCCAAGCAGCGGGGAGGAAGGGAGGGTAGTGGAGCACCCATAGGAGGACACATCTCGAAGAATAGTCATTACTGCACAGGTGAGTAACTTCCTTTTCTTCTTCAAGTAGTATCCCCGTGGGTGCTCCACTGTTGGGGAATACAAAGCAGTACTCCACCAGGATGGTGGGGCTCAGAGTCACTGCTTGACAGATGTAGATAACACTGTCATAGCCACCAGTGTATCTTCAGTAACCTGTGGCATAATTGCAGTGTCTGGCACGAGCATGGTCGGACGACCAGGTCGCTGTCTGGTAGACAACTGTAAGGGGCACGTTGTAGGGAATAATTCCGGACACACTGGGTGCAGGTGAAAACAAGCAGAGGATTTATTGAACACACAGCGCTGGTGAAATGCCAACCAGGTATTAGCCCAGAGAGCACTAACTTAACCAAAACATACATTAGATTATATAGGTAGCAGATGGACAGAGAAGTGATTTGATAGGTCTAGCAGTGGAAGTGAGATATGCACATAAGCCAGTGGACTACAAAAGTTACACAGTATCTCCGCCCATTGCCAATTAAACATGTTATCACTAATACAGGTAGTTATTCCTAACAAGCTAAATGAGCCAACATAAACAGGATAGCAGCCCCCAGAATGGATATATTGCTGTTAGCTTGTTAGCTGAAATTGTGATGTCTACTGCGAGATGACTCCATCCTTGTGTTGGAACAGTCCTTGAGATCCAAGCTCATTAATCTGAAATCACAGGAGACAGTAAGAAAAAACCATGCAGCCTGGCTGATACCAGCCAGGCCTTATCAGAGTGAGGCCCCTTTGGAATGTAGTTGCCAGGGAACCAGGGACACGGTAACTGCCTGCCCGTATGCTTTCCAGGCCTGGCCTAATAATTTCGGATTTGAGTTGTCAGTTCTCAGTAAGATATCATGGACTGCCTCAGTTTACCCTACACACGTTCTTTAGAAAAGCCATTGATGTCACCGTAGCATGAGTAGAGTGTGCTCTTGGTGGGGCTGGTAAAGGCCTATTGTGGGTAGAGTGACACTGGACTATGCAAGATGATCTCCATCTAGAAATACACTGAGTTGAGATTGGTGTGCCTCGCGAGTGTTCTGCAATAGACACAAAGAGGTGTATAGTTTTACAGAAGGCTCGGATTCTGTCAATGTAAAAGGCCAATGAGCACCTAATGTCAAGAGTATGTAGCACAGCATCTCTAGATATATGGGGTTTAGGAAAAAATGTGCATAACACTATCGGTTCACTGATGTGGAAGGAGGAGCAGACTTTGGGCAGGAAGGAGGGTTGTGGGCGCAGGGTTACTTTGTCCTTTGTGAAGATGGTGTAAAGTGGTCCCACCATCAGTGCCGCTATCTTGCTAACTCTTCTTGCAGAGGTGATGGCAATTAGGAACACCGCCTTCATTGATAGGAATAGAAAAGTACAGGTAGCCATAGATTCGAAAGGAGGTCTCATGAGGCAGTCCAATACCATGCTCCACGAGGGGGCAGGTACTCTCTGTGGGGAGTACAAATTTGTGAACCCTTTTAGGAATCTCCTGGTAATAAGGTGAGCAAAGACCAATGACCCATCAACCCGTATGTGAAAGGCTGATATTGCAGCAAGATGTACCTTCAGTAAGGAAATGGACAGACCCCCGTGGTTTACATGTAGTATGTAATCAAGGACTGTTTGTATCAAGGACTGTTTGTGACTACTTTCTTCCACTATTTGATCTGAGGAAGTGGGTCTGGCCCACGAAAGCTCATCATCTAATAAACCATCTTGTTAGTCTTTAAAGTGCTACATTGTCCTGCATTTTGTTTGTATCAGTGAAGTCTGGGGATCAACGTGCTTTTGTTGGTGCCACAAGTAGAACTGTCTCCATTTTGGCAGTTAAGTGGCTCTGGTTGACGGATGTCTTCTGTGTAAAAGCACAGTCCTCACCTGCTCTGAACAGAGGGTTTAATTGTCATGGAACCGGAGAGGAGCCAGGCATGAATGTGCAGGGTGTAGGGCTGGGGGTTCAGAAGCATGCCTCGATTTTGAAAAAAGAGGTCATAGTGGTGAGGAAGAGGAACTGGTGGTTTGATGGACAGGCTGGAGACAAGGAAACCAAATCTATTTCAACCAAGAAGGTGCTATCAGGATGAGTCGAGCCGAGTTGGACCGAACTTTGCAAAGGACTCTCAGGAACAATGGAATTGGTGAGAGGGCATAATGCAGAGGTTCCCTCCAGGAAATTAGGAAGGCATCACCTGCTGATCCCTCACCTAGCCCTGCTTGACAGTAGAAGTGGGGGCATTTGGTTTTGTGGCGAGTTGCAAAGAGGTCTATAGGTGGGTAGCCCCGCCTGTGAAAGACAGAGGCAAGGACCACTGGGTATATCTCCCATTCATGGTCCGTAAAGAAATTGTGACTCAGATCAACCACTATGGTGGTGTTCATGCCAGGTAGGTATGATGCCCTCAAGGTGACTTTGTGGTGAATGCACCAGTTCCACAGACGCACTCCCTCTTCACAAAGCGACTGGGACCAGGCACCCCCCTTTCTGTCAATATAAAACATGGTGGTCATGTTGTCTGTGAATACACACACCAATGAGTTGGGAATGATTATAGCAAAATGCCTGCAGGAATCCCTGACAGCCCTGAGG